AACCTAAAACACACTTTATTAGCTCCTAAAGTGAACTGTTAGCTAACCTAAAACACACACTTTTTAATGCTAAACTGACCCGTTAGCTTATTTGATACCATCTTTTTTAACGGAACTGCGAGCTAACCTAAACAAGGCTATCTTAACTGCTAACCTAAACTGTAAGTACCTTGAACAAGGCTATTTCAGCTACTAAACAATGGTTAGCTAACATGAACCAAACTGTTTTAGATCCTCCACTAAGTGACCAGATGTCCCTGTTTGTCTGGAATTGTCCTGGTTTCTAGCGTGTTGTCCCAAGTCCTGACTATCTGTCAAACACTAAAATATAAAGTAATAGTCTAATAATATGTTTATCAGTGCTTACATGGACATTCATCATGTTCTGTCCCACTCATTACTTTAGGTCAGGGGTCTTTAACGTTTTTCAGGCCAAGGACCCCCAAACGGATAGAGAGATGGAATCAGGAACCCCCGACTATGTATATTGTGTTTTATAATAAACTGGGCCTAGTGCGATGTATAAACATACCTCTTTATTGTGCATTCAATGCTAAGCTATTCAAATAATACACAGGTTCATATATTCATGTTGCTATTTTAAACATGTGCAAGGTACAGTGAGTAGGGTGGCCGTGCCACTGCCATTCATAAACATAGCTTGTCAGCTGATACCAATGCCAATATCAACATTGTCTGTCAATTGCATGATAATCATACATACAAGCTATTCACACTGATGTTTTCATTTAAAATATAAATGTGGAAACGAAAATGAGTGATTAGTGCCACTGCCATGCATAAACACACCTGTTGTCTTTCATACAATACTGAACTATTAAAATAATGGAAAGATTCATGTTTGGGGGGGAAAGAAATTGTCTAATCCACCAAACATTTCGCGGACCCCCTGCAGTACCCCCGCGGACCCCCTAGGGGGTCACAGCTCCTATATAAACTAGGTGGGATCTGTAATTTGACCGTATGCTAGTTTCTGACATCTTTACACACATACCGCTGTGCAGCGAGGCGTCTTCTGGGAGGTCTTCATCCAGCATGAGGTCATCATCATCCAGATCACACGAGTCCAGGTTGTTCAGGACGTCCTGAAGGACACAGAAACAGAGACTTACGTGGTCGGTATGCTGCATCATATTTATAAATGTGCTTTATACTTCAATCAGCTTCACACAAACAGATTTATACGCTCACAAGAGCATAAAATAGACCAGAATGCTCTGCAGCTTTTTTGTTCACGACAGCTCTTTTACGTCCTTGCGAGCACAAAATAGAAAAATCCCTGAACAAACTCACAAAAATCAAAACCAATCTATTCCCTTCTTTTATAAAGTAGCAGCTGCAGCACGAAGGACGACGTGAGCTCCAGCGAGACGCTGATGAAAGAGTAAAAGACCTTCTGCTGATCAATAACAGTCTCTGGGTTTGTTTGTCTGTACAATGAAAGAGAACGAGTGTTCAAGAGCCGGAAAACCCCAAAACGAAGCATAATTATTGGGCCACGTTCTCTGTATTATTAACACCAGAGAACCAAATCATATTTAACATATCTTCATCAGGATATTATAGGTGACAAAATATATCAGCTAGAAATCATAATTAAAGATATTAACTGGTTGAAATGTCACTTTTCCTGCAGGCTGGTTACGTTTTCTTCTTTGCCAATTTTGAATGAAGCCTTCGATGCTCAAACTAACTAACCGATCAAAGCAGCGGTCGACCAGCAACCCCCCGTTCTGAGAGGTGAAATGATTTCAATGGAGTCTGGTAGAGAGAATAGATCTTCGTCTACAGGCAACAACTGACTAAGGAGAGGTTCCTCCTACAACCCCACTTCATGAATCCCTTTACAGAACTACGTCTTCAGGAGGAACCAACGGGCTGGGAGCTGAGAGACAGGAAGTCAGACGGCGTTGAGAGACGGACAGGAAGTCAGACGGCGTTGAGAGACGGACAGGAAGTCAGACGGCGTTGAGAGACGGACCGACATGTTTTGAGGCGACTGTGGCAAAGTGGAGAGCAGGGCCGCCCTTCAATCAGATGATCGGCGGTTCGATCCCCAGCTCCGCTAGTCGCATGTCAATGTGTCCTTGAGCAAGACACTAAACCCTAACCCCAAAATTGCTCCTGTAGCTGTGCCTACGGTGTAGAAATGTGATAGAATCTGGATTGTAAGTCGCTTTGGATAAAAGCGACTGCTAAATGACTAATGAGACTGAACGTGACATTTGTTGACGAAAAGAAAAAAGACAGAGTTTAAAAGTGGCTTTGGGTGTGAGATGTTACACGTTTGAAAAAACGTTTAAAAGCTTTTCTTCAACTCATAAATCAAAAGCACACACACACACACACACACACACGCGCCAATTAAAGAAATGATTTGTATCAACGAATGTATAAAGTCTGTAACAGCACCGACTAATCTAAATATAAAACACAGTTTACATTCATGAACGGATTACTGAACAGACCACAAAGAGAGACTTAACCAAACAGAGATGCACAATGACGACAATAAGATTAAAAACCACGACCTGAAGAGGTGTGTGCGTCTTGTAACTGAGTAGAAGAGGTTCACTCATGGAGATGTGTGTGAAAGACGGAGATATGCGTGAAAGACGGACTTCAGCTCAGACCATTAAGGCCCTGAGCTCATTAGAGTCCATCACTCTTTCAGACCCACAGCTCGTTAACACTCAGGGAGCTCATTAACACCCCCCCCCCCCCCCCGCCACATCACTCAGGGAGGACATTAACTGTACTGAGCATCAAGGAGTCTCTTCTGGATGTAGATTAATGAACAGAGAACTCTTCTACAGCTGCTGGTAGACATGCATCTCTCCTAGTAGCACCCTGGAACACAACCTCAACAGGAATATCTTCTTTTTGTAAAAAAAAGTCTGAAGGAGAGGAGTTTACTACAAATCCCAAGATGCATTTCAGCAAGAAACTTACAAACAGAGCTCAAAAATCTGTTCCATGAAAATCAATTAAGAGTCAACTAAAGATAAATTCAGCGACTGTGGTGACAAAATATGATTCACAAGGAGGCTCATGGGTATTGTAGTTCACTGGTCAGCTGGTCATTCACTCAAGACCAGATCATGAAAGTGTATGAGTGCTTAAAACTATAATTATGCAGCGCTACAAGCAGATTATAACAACTATTATTACCAGTTTGATCCCATTGATCCTCGTTTTAAATTCATTATGTTGAGGCAAATGAGTAAAACATAAATATTCTTTGTCTGTAATCTGATTAACGTGTAAACTCTCTGAAGTCTTCAGCTGTAGTTCAGAGATGAGACACAGGAGGGAGCCAGAGGACTCCGTTCAGACCTCAACGGTCCTGATCCTCAGACCTGGTCTCAGTGTTCATGTTAAATAATCTACAGCTGAGAATCCCTTTCATGTCCGGTTTGCTTCGATGTTTTTCTGTCTGTTCAGACACTGAAGGATTCTGCAGAGGTTTACAGCGGAGGATCTCTGCTGCGAAGAGATCAATTTAAGGTTTTTAGAGAAACTGTTTCTACCTCAACTCTGAATATTACACTGGAACCAGCTCCAAGTTAATTAAAGTGACGCTTTTTGTAGTATTTTCTTACCTTTTAAAACTAAATTAATACACAATATACCTCATCATTTATGACAAATTACTGTTGAGCCTGCAGCATAATAAAGGTGGTTTTTCATATTTCTAAACAGAAACCAGAATATTTTGGATCAGAACTGGACTCGATATGCAGAACCGCAACCGGCAGAAGCTAAGCACGTCGATCAAGTGTTGGAGGAGGATTCAGACTTCTGGTGCTTTCATGTTTAATGAGACGTTTGTGGAACAGAAGCAGGCTTGAGACCTCGAGTTCAGACTAGTTTTCAAAAATGTGCGACGCGTGCCAACAGTTTGTGTTTCTGCCTGTTTTTAATGCTCACTTTGTTCTCTAGTGGGTCGCTTCACTGGAACCACAACCAGTTCTGTCCAACGAGACCGAGACCAGACGACACTGCTGGAACACTAAACGCTCACTTTAGTTCTTCTGTCTCCTTTCACTAAACTCCACACACACACACACACACACACACACACACACACACACACACA